CAACCAAATAATTTGCTGCAGCATATGGACGCCTGGCAAACGTAAAAAACAGCATTCCGACATCTAAATAAGGACTCATTCAGGACCCTATACACTGTGAAACGTTAGGCCCATATTGGAATATGCAGCACCAGTTTTGGAAACCCTCACCTCATCAAGCAGTAAGGAAACTAGAGAAAGGGTGCAAAGGTTTGCAGCAAGACTAGTCCCGGAGCAAAGGGGGTATGTCCTACGAGGAGAGGTTAAGGAAATCGACCTGACGACACTGGAAGCAGGAAAAATGGGGGGGATATGACAACGACATAAAAAATACTGAGGGGTAAAGACAAGGTGGACAGAGACAGGATGCTTCAGAGATGGGACACAGCAACAAGGGGTCACAGTTGGAAGATGAAGACTCAGATGAACCACAGGGATGTTAGGAAGTATTTCTTCAGTCACAGAGTTGTCAGGAAGTGGAATAGCCTGGATAGTGATTTTAGTGGAGCAGGATCCATGCATAGCTTTAAGAAAAGGTATGATAAAGCTCACGGAGCGGGAAATGGACTGAGTAGCACCCAGTGAAGGGGCGGGCGAGGAGCTGTGACTCGACCCCCATAACCACAACGGGGTGAGCACAACTGGGTGAGCACAGGACATGCTTATGCATAATCTGGTTACAGTTTACTGTATCTCAGTGCCGCAGTCGCTGTTTAATTCCTACCTGGAGTTTCCCCTGGAGAGAGTTCCGGGGTCGACGCCCCCGCGGCCCGGCCCCTGTATCCAGGCCTCATGTGGATCAGGGCCTGATCAACCAGGCTGTTACTGCTTGCCGCACGTAATCCAACGACGAACCACAGCCAGCTGGTCAGGAAACCGACTTTAGGTCCTTGTCCAGTGCCTGCTTGAAGAAAGCCTTGGTCTTTTGGGTAAATTCCCCCTTATTGTATGCTGGGAGGTAGTTTTGGGGCCCTGACATTTATTGTCTTGTCTCTTATCATGCTAGTGGCCCCTCTGCTTTTCATTAGGGGGATGTTGCATCGTTTGCCGAGTCTTTAGCTTTCATAGGGAGTGATTTTCATGTGCAAGTTTGGTACTAATCCCTCTCGGATTTTCTGAGTGTGTATAATCACGTAGCTCTCCGCCTGCGTTCTAGGGAGTACAAGTTGAGGAACTTCAAGTGTTCCCAGTAAATGAGGTGTTTTTTTGCAGTTATGTGTGCTGTGAAGGTTCTCTGTACACTTTCTAGGTCAGCAATTTCACCTGCCTAGAAAGGTGCTGTTAGTGTGCAGCAATATTCCAGCCTAGATAGAACAAGTGACCTGAAGAGTGTCATCATGGGCTTGGCATCCCTAGTTTTGAAGGTTCTCATTATCCATCCTGTCATTTTTCTAGCAGATGCGATTGATACAATGTTATGGTCTTTGAAAGTGAGATCCTCTGACATGATCACTCTCAGGTCTTTGACATTAGTTTTTCGCTTTTTGTGTGGTTGGAATTTGTTTTATACTCCGATGTAGTTTTAACTTCCTCACGTTTTCCATATCTGAGTAATTGAAATTTCTCATCATTGAACTTCATATTGTTTTCTGCAGTCCATTTAAAGATTTAGTTGATGTCCGCCTGAAGTCTTGCAGTGTGAAAATTTGTATGGACTGCCTGCAAGTGAGTCGCCTACCCTGGCAAACTCTGTTGACACCGAGCTCTGAGGTGGGTGCCTCAGCCTCACAAGTGGCTTATAGGACAGATTTTCACAAATGATTGATGTTGCAAGAAACTCGCCTGCATGCACGTATAAAGGGCTAACTTACTTGGTGTTGCAGCATATATCCTGATCTTCAACTTCCCTAAGCTTAGCCTTAGCCCCTTTGGACTTTCCCTCAGAAATCACGTGCAACCGGGAGCATTAATTCCTGCAATATTCAATCGTTATTAGTGTCCTGCCTGCACCTCAGAAATTCCTATATCCAAGAGGGTATGTATCCCCTAGTATAACTATGCAGACACGGGACACTAGCTTCCAGACTGCCTTGAGACACTGGTACTTACTGGGCATGCTCTGCCAGCTGCAACACAGGCCCACAGATCAAACTCACTCACAATTCTCCCCAGACACTGGCCAGAAATCTACGAGATAAAGTGGAGGTCTTGTCTTACTGTATGGGCCTGATGGAGGTCATCTACGGTACATCGAGGTGCCTCTACCAGATTTCCCCAGGTCTCAAATGTGAAGACACGGGGGGGGGGGGGGCGCCGTCTGCTGATCACGGCACGTCTTGTCCAGTTGGCGTCTGTCTTAAGAAGAACGAGCTGGTCTCTCTTCCAGACCCTCGTCTCTTCGTTCAAACTAGGGCTGCCAGTTCTCCCTAGCTAACTTATCCTAGTGTTTGCCTACATTATCAGCCTATTACTACCTATGTTAAGGTCTTAGGTCTACATTATTATTATCTACAGTTGCCTTAGTAAACCTAATATTAATATACTAAGAGTAAAACTACCTACTCCTTCCCTGAAGAGTAAATCTATAAATTAAATAAATGCCTACCAACAATCCACGCCAACTAGAGAGAATGCTGTTTGTTTGGGAGGGTTATAAGGGCCACCCAGCTCAGCCGTCCCATTACAGCTATGCTGGGACCCCTTCGTACGTCGTATCTGTCCTGTGGAACTTTAGGGACCAAATAAATTTCCACATGCAGTGTCTTCAATGGAGGACACTGCCATGCAAATTCACGTATTATCTGCAAAGGAAGACTGGATGCTGCAGCTTACATCCCTGCCTATGTCAGTTATGAGGATGAGGAACAGGATGAGAGTGAGTACTGTGCCTTGTGGAACAGAGGATTTCACTGTAGCCGCCTCAGACTTTACTCTGCTAATCTTTGCGTTCTATTTGTTAGGAAATTATAGATCCATCTGCCAACTTTTCCTGCTATTCCTTTATCACGCATTTTGTGCGCTATTACCCCAAAACAATAACAATAATAATGTAAAATATTTGTATAAACTGACTTTTATGACCTGATTTCTTCTGTCATGTCTTTCACATACACAAAAAATAATACTGACCCTTGTGGAACCCCACTCTTTACACTTGCCCATCCTGACATATTCCCCCAAACAATACCTCTCTGTTTCTTTCCGTAGTTAGTTTAATATGTTTATTATGCACCCCATACCCATCCTGTGGGCGGTAGTCAAAAGATTACAGAGGTACATAATGGGTCCAGGGACTGGGCCTCAAAGTTTTGATGGCTGAGCAAGTTACAGAGGTAATGAATTCACAATTTACAAAGGTAATGAACTCCAGGTAGGTCTAGTCACAAGCATGACAAGTTACAAAGGTATTAACAGATTATAGAGGTACACAATGGGTCCAGGGACTGGGCCCCAAAGTTTTGATGGCTGAACTAGGTACAAGGTAATGAACTCACAAATGTTATACAGAAGTGAGTATCCTATATATCCTACATATTCCATAACATGTGTACCCACAAGAATTATTATGCACCCCATACCCATCTTGTGGGTGGTAGTCAAAAGATTACAAAGGTACACAAAAACACTGTTTAAAACTTACTTGCAGCTAGTGTAGTCAGTTTCTGATCAAATAAACGGTTATTTTCTGTTTTTCTTAACGTTGTATTGGCATTAATTATACTTTTGCAGTGTCTGTTAATATTATTTAATGTTTTTTATACATAGTTTATATGATGGTAAATATATTATAGGCTCGTATTTAATGTAGCAGTCTGATGGCACACTCAGCTTCACTTTGACTACCGCATAAGATGGGTATGGGGGTGCATAATAAAGGTATTAAACACAGTTTACCATGAATGTTTTCACACTCTTGTTGAACATAGCAGTTAATCAAATTTATGCTGTCAGGTTGGTTTTATTTTAAGATGAAGGCAACCAGTAATATGAAGCAAGAAAAGTGATGAAAATAAGTCACTCTCGTTTGACTTTGGGGGGAGGGGTTATTCTAGGTAATTTACCCATATTTTATTGTATAAGACAATTATAATAATAAAAAATATAAAATTGTAACTAAATTGCACATGAATTGTACCTAAAAGGACCCCAATGGAAATACGTCACTCTAACTTTTTTGGGTTATCCTAGGTTCTATACACATATGCTGCTATGTATGATAATCTATGTAACTGTATTTGTGTATACCTGAATAAACTTACTTGCTTAAAATGTACCTGAATTGTACCTTAAGTGTTCCTAATTGCACCTGCCTGAAATGCTATGTATAACCAGGGACTTTCTATAAAGTGTGTCGAGAATACCACATCTTCCAAGCCAATTGCAACCTTTAATTTATGTAAATAAAATTTATCATTCATTATTTATCATTACATACCTAGTGTGTGAGTGTGAGAGTGTGGTGTCCCTGGTGCAGTGTTGATGGTCACAACAATGTCATTTCTTACCTTTACTCCTACTCTTCCTGACGTAGGATCATGCTGGTAAATTGTCTCGTCTTAGAAGTAAGTTGTGAGTGATGTAAGATGTGTTGTATGAGGCTGCCGTGAGTGAGTGTAGTGTGTGAGCAGTAATATGAGTGATAGTGGCCACCTTGAAGGTCGCCTCAACTCCTCTTGTTGTCCTGGTCTATCGTAATGTATTATGCCAACACTTTGTGTCTTATTTTAAACAAGAGGCGAATATATTGCCCTATTTTTTAGTCCATGACAGCACTGTGGTAAAGAAATGATGTAAAGGTAAAAAGACACTTGTTTAATCAAGACCTTTATTACGGAAACGTTTCGCCACAGGTGGCTTCTTAGGACTGAAGAAGCCACTGGTGGCTGTAAGTTTCTTTATTATAATGTGTTGATCAGTGTATTTGTAACTTTTACCTGCACCTTGTTGGTATCACCATATACCACATCCGCCAGAAATGATTGATGTGTTGTGATAAGTGTATTTACACCCACCAGAACCTCACCTGTTGTATATATTTTGAATCGGGGGAAAATACCTAAATTCGTAGGGGTCCTATAATTCTTGGGGAATGGGAGGATAAGTCCAGTTCCTTAGAGCAAGAGCCCCTCGCTGGCATCAAGGCACCTACCTGGAGGGGCTCACATGATGTAGTCATGTTAATTACCCACTCCAGTGAGGTGTCTTGGGTGTTTAAAAAATGCATCAATCTTAAGACTGTACACACGAATGAAGAAATACAACAATAGGCCTACTGGCCCATGCTCTAGGCATGGCTATTCCAAGCCACCTTGAAAGACATAAGTTGATTAATGGATACTTTTCACATAGTTAAGTTACTTACCTGTTTTAATGTTTAAAATTTAAATAATAAATTATTACAAGAACCCCGAATAGAAAAAAGTCACTTTGACTTTTTTGGGGTTATCCTAGGTAATTTACATATGCTGCTATGTAAGATAATTTACATAACTGCATTTATGTGTACCTGTACCTAAATAAACTTGTGTACATACTTACATAGCATGGTTTTTCATTCCTGCCTTATGAATTAACTAACTTTTTTCATTAAGGTAATTGAGGACGTAGATCATGGTATGAATATGATATTGTGTATACTGTATTGCATGAATGGGGAGAAAGCAGAGTGGGAAAGTGTCACAAGCGGTGTTCCACAGGGGTCAGTGTTGGGCTGTTTGTTGTTTACAATTTACATAAACGACGTAGATGATGGTATAAATAGCGACACAAGCAAGTTTGCCGATGACACCAAAATAGGCTGTCAAATTCATTCTGACAAGGACACTAGAACACTTCAGGAAGATCTGTTATAGACTGGCGCAGTGGTTGGAGAAGCGGCAGATGCAGTTTAACAGAGATGTGAAGTTCTAAGAATTGGAAAGGAAAATAACCATGACATTTATAAACTAAATAATGCAGATCTTAATAATACTGATTGCAAAAATAGAGTTGGGAGTTCTGGTTAGCAGTAATTGAAAACCAGGACAACAGTGCATAAATGTTTGCAATAAAGCAAATAGAATTCTTGGCTTCATATCAAGCAGTATAAATAACAGGAGTCTTCAGGTTCTTCTTCATCTCTGTATATCATTGGTTAGGCCTCATTTAGATTATGCTGTCAACGTGACTCATGAAATCGTAATGACACGATTGCAAACAAACCATACCACGGACAGGGATAGAACCTGTGATCAGAGAGTCTCAAAACTCCAGACCGTCGCGTTAGCCACTGGGCCAGCTAGCCACAATAAGATTCATCCAACTAGGTATGTTTATACACCATAGGAAGGTTAGCATAGACACCACTGTGACCACAAATGCAAGTTTTTACAGATGAATCTCCAGCTAGCGTGGCCATGACGAACTCTAGCTCAGGTCCCCTCAAAGCCGTCAACATGACTCACGAAATCATAATGACACGATTGCAAACAAACCATACCACGGACGAGGATAGAACCCGCGATCAGAGAGTCTCAAAACCCCAGACCGTCACGTTAGCCACTGGGCCAGCTAGCCACAATAAGATTCATCCGACTAGGTATATTTATACTCCATAGGAAGGTTAGCATAGGCACCACTGTGACCACAAATGCAAGTTTTTACAGACGAATCTCCAGCTAGTGTGGCCGTGACAAACTCTAGCTCAAGTCCCCTCAAAGCCGTCAACATGACTCATGAAATCGTAATGACACAATTGCAAACAAACCATACCACAGATGGGGATAGAGCCCGCAGTTTGTTTGCAATTGTGTCATTACAGTTTCGTGAGTCATGTTGACGGCTTTGAGGGGACTTGTCACGGCCACAGTACCTGGAGATTTGTCTTTAAAAACTTGCATTTGTGGTCACAGTCACTTGTGCTTAGCATTACTGGCCACCTGTTCATAACTACTGCTAACTGCCATACCTGCTTTCATAAACTGTTATTTATTTTAGCACAGCACCCTCAGATAGGTTGATAATGGTAAATTTTGGCCTAGACATAAGAGAATGGGTCTGTGTGGTGGCTCTGCACAGTATAAAAAAAATCCTGACCTACGTATAGCATAGCCTTGTGTTTATTTCAAAATAGCGACTTTGAGGTGTTTTTTAGGGTAATTTGTTTGCTTTTATTAGCCGTTTCATGTATCACTTAACCCTTTCAGGGTCCAAGGCCAAAATCTGAAGTGGTGCCCCAGTGTCCAAGAATTTAAAAAAAAAAAAATTGTTATTTTTTCTTATGAAATGGTAGAGAATCTTTTTGTGAATGTAATAAAACAAAAAGTAGGAAATTTGATGGAAAATTGACGAAATTATGCTCTCGTGAATTTTGATGTGTCAGCGATATTTACGAATCGGCGATTTTGCCGACTTTGACTCCCATTTTAGGCCAATTACATTATTCCAGTCGACCAAATTCTCAGCTATTTCACTAGTATTACTTCTATTCTATCGATTGAGCACAAGAAATCGCCAAGTCAACTGTTTCAACTACAAAATAAAGTGACCCGGAAATTGGTAATTTGGCCAATTTAACACAAAGTTCAAAATATTCCAATTTCAAAATAGGGTCCAGAATAAACAAAGTAGGTATTCCTGGCACTAAACTAACATTTCCTCTGTTCATTAGTTATGTTTTGAGGCTTTACAAATAAATTCCATTTTGATTTTTTATTCACATAATGAATTTTTATTCACACCAAAAAATAGAAGATTTACTGTTATGCAATATTGTAATAATTGTATAAATATCATCACCACATTTGTGAATGTATATTAGACCCACCAGCTGGCGTGTATTAGACGTGTGAGGTCGTTTGTTTACTCTTGAACATCGGCAAAAATTTAACATTTCCGCCACTTTGAGCTCAATTTCAAGCCATTTCCAGTGCTAACACCAATCAAAATTATCTCTATTTCTGTAATATGTCTTCCATTCTATCAAATGAGACCAAGAAATCACAAATACAACTATAAAAAACATACGAAAAAACACTGCAAAGTCGCTGTTTTAATCGAAAATCATGGTCTCAGTTTTTTTCTCTCATTATACACAGTGTGCTGCAGGATTTGTTTTATGTGGTGCACACATACCACATAGATGTATTCTCTCATATCTAGGCCCAAATTTACCACTCACAGTTTATCAGAGTGAGCTGAGCTCATGACGTAGATCTACGGTTTGGACCCTGAACGTAAAGCCGTTGATCTACGGGACGGACCCTGAAAGGGTTAATAGAATGGAAGACACTAGGAAGATAAAGATAATTTTGGTCGGTTTGAGAGTGGAAGTATAGTGGACCCTCGGCCAACGAAGGCATCATCTAATGATAAATTCGTCCAATGAAGCGTTGGAGCGTAAAAATTTTGGCCCGACCAACGATGAAAAACTCAACCAACATGATTCGTCCCAAACCTGCGTGTCCAGCCTGAGCGCCTCAGCTGCCCTGCCATCATTGTTTACAAGCTAGGGTGGATGGTTCCATGCATATATTTGATAAATTTTGTATTATTCCATTGTTTTTAGTGCTTGTAACTGCTAAATAAGCCACCATAGGCCCAAAGAAAGCTTCTAGTGCCAACCCTGTGGTAAAAAGGGTGAGAAATACTATAGAAGTACTACTATCGTATCACGGTCAGCTGCTGCTGCACCACAGTCATCTGTTGCTACTGCTGCACCACAGTCATCTGTTGCTGCTGCTGCACCACCGTCAGCTGTTGCTCCACCACCATGAGCTGTACTACTTGAAGATGTGGAGAGTGTTTTTGGTGTGGCTTAACGAGAAACAATTACTGAGAAACAGTGAACCCCAGAGGGTTAGCCACCCAGGATAACCCAAGAAAATCAGTGCATCATCGAGGACTGTCTAACTAATTTCCATTGGGGTCCTTAATCTTGTCCCCCAGGATGCGACCCACACCAGTTGACTAACACCCAGGTGAAGAGGAAAAAATGCCTGGAACTAGTGCTCATGTTGGTGACTTTAAGGCCAGCAACGGTTGGTTTGAGAGATTTAAGAATCGTGGTGGCATACACAGTATGATAAGGCATGGTGAAGCTGAAAATTTCCAGCCCCAACAAGTGTTCATTTGTGATGAAACAGGCCTGTTCTGGAAGAAAATGCCAAACAGGACCTACATTATTTTTTATTTATTATTATTATTAACACACTGACTGATTCCCACCAAGGCAGGGTGGCCCGAAAAAGAAAAACTTTCACCATCATTCACTCCATCACTGTCTTGCCAGAAGGGTGCTTTACACTACAGTTTTTAAACTGCAACATTAACACCCCTCCTTCAGAGTGCAGGCACTGTACTTCCCATCTCCAGGACTCAAGTCCGGCCTGCCGGTTTCCCTGAATCCCTTCATAAATGTTGCTTTGCTCACACTCCAACAGCATGTCAAGTATTAAAAACCATTTGTCTCCATTCACTCCTATCAAACATGCTCACGCATGCCCGTTGGAAGTCCAAGCCCCTCGCACACAAAACCTCCTTTACCCCCTCCCTCCAACCTTTCCTAGGCCGACCCCTACCCTGC